CAACTTTCTAGCTTCTCAGATCCCCGAGTTATGAACTTACCCTAAAAAACTTTGGCGGGCTCGTACGTGGGTACCACGCGGGCAAGGACGCCCATTTTGGGGATTGGGGCCCGTGCGTGCATGTAGATTAAGTTTCCAAAGTTTTAGCCCTGTAGCTTTTGTAGGTCTTGAGATGAAAATGCGTGACAGACGCACATACAGACACACAGTCACACAGGCACACACATAGACAGCCCCTCGTCAATATGCGTCTTCTGCATTGCATAGCTGCAAAAAACGCATAAAAATGAATTGCAAAGATCTTCCTAGCTTTTAAATTTGTAGCATTTCCTCAAGAGGAGCAGGAAGATGAGACTCAAACATCAAGCAGCGAAAATTCGAAACCAAGAGAGCCTGCGAAGAGTTCGGGTGGTGGTTTATACCATTGGTTTAGTAGTTGGTTGTATCGTCCAGAACAAGGTATGGCAGTAATTTTTTTTTTAAATTAATACTGTTAACTGCGACAAAATTTACTGACTTTTAGTTCCAAAGAAATGCTTCGTTTGAGTAGATCTGGACATTCTTGGAACCACGAAACTCTGTAATCTTTTTCCGCTCATAAACGCTGTCGCCTTGCTTTATGTCACCTCACGCTTTAATGTAGTAGTTGATTTAGGATTTTGTGATAAGAACTAAAGTGATGGTTGCAGGGAAACCGAAATTAGAAAAAATGGAAGCAATGGACGAAAAACTGCGTGCCCTGCTTGATACCGATGAGAAAGAGAGCAGTTTGCCTGCTGATTTCAAGGAGCTCGAAAAACAGGTCCGGCGGTTTTTAACTTTCTTTTCTGTGTATGTTTTTTGTTTGGTTATTGATTATAGTTCTTTTTTTTGTGTAATTTTGTAACAGCATAAGCATACGAACAATGAGCATTTAAAGAATTTTATAGGAAGTTAACGATCACTGGTTTTTTGGTATTCCCGTTTTGCTAATTAGGCCTTGTTTCTTGGAAAAATTGCTTTAATGCTAAATGGTGAAGATTGAAACATAGTACTTTTAATGGTGGGTGAGTTTCTTGTTGGTTTACGTGTATCATCCCTTTTCATTCCGTATGGGGAAATTGTTTTGCAGGTTGGTGATGAAATTTTGGATGTGTTGAACGAAAGTAAGGACGATTCCACGATATTGCATCGTGACACCCTTCTGGCCGAAATAAAGCTGAAACTGCAACGGATGACGATTCGATTCATAGATGATTTCGAAGTAAGTTTGCAAAAAGGTTTATGCAGGTCGTCAGGGATTTTTCTGGACACGCTAAAAAATTTGGTGAATTAAAAAAATCGTTATGCTGGCGATACTGACGTCCCTTTCGTCTCTTGGACCTAAGAGACGTCAGTATCGTCAGCATTGTCCAAGCTTCTTTCAGCAAAAGCACTTAGCATAGGTTAACTACTGCCTTTGAGGTAAGTCTCAAAATACGTTGCTTAGACAAACTTTTCGAACATTTTAAAATATGGAACAAGCGAATAACCTGGTTACGAGAAATTTGAATTTGAACCATAACGTTTGGATTTTGAAACATCCACAGAAAGTATCACAGTTATGTGGAAAATCGAAAATTACAGTGATTTTCAAGGCAAAATTAGAAGATTTGCGTGGAAGCGATGAAAAAATTGGCAAAAATCTCGAAAAAAGTAACTGCAGAAAAAAGATTTTTTAAATGATCTTATTCCATATTACTTCAGATTTGTAAAAGCGCAAATACGCGAGTGCTAGCGGTGGATTTATGGTGGCTCGCAAGTTGTATTCACTTAAGCCCACGACGCCATAGCACTGCTGTATCGCTCAGCGTCACCGATATGAGCTTGCAGAGGCTGTGC